GGGAGGGAGGGATGAAGGAAGGAAGGAAGGGAGAGAGAGAAAGAAAGAAAGAAAGAAAGAAAGAAAGAAAGAAAGAAAGAAAGAAAGAAAGAAAGGAGGGAGGGAGGGAGGGAGGGAGGGAGGGAGGGAGGGGAAGGAGGAGGAGGAGGAGGAGGAAAGAAGGAAGGAAGGAAGGAAGGAATGGACTAAAGGAAAGAAAGAAAGAAAGAAAGAAAGAAAGAAAGAAAGAAAGAAAGAAACTGAAAAGCAAATAACATAAGGGGGTTAAGGAAGACTCAAGGTGCTAGAAAAGAATTATATCCAAGGTAAATGTAGTGTTGTTGAGAAAAAAATAGGTTGAAAGGCCTGATATTATAGGGGGAAATGGCTTGGGAATTCAAATTGAATTTACTTGGATGGAGTAAAGTACATAAAGAGGGAGAATCAGAAAGGAGAAAGGCTAAGTGGAATACTCTAGGTCATGTGTCTTAGTTTCCTCTAAGAGCTATAAAAATTTCCCTCAAATAAGCCATGAAAACAATACAAATTAATCTGACAGTTCTATAGGTCGTCAGTCTTAAGTAAGTCTCACTGGAGGTAAAAACTAAGGTGGCAGAAGCAGGACTGTGAATACAGGACTGAACTTTCTGGAAGCTCCAGGGGAAAATTCATTTTCTTGACTATTCCAGCTTCTAGTGGCTGCCGCATTCCTTGGCTCCTGGCCTCCTTCCATTGTCAGAGCCAGCAACAGTGGGTGGTGTCTTTTTCCATGCTTTGAATTTCCTTGCTTCTTCATTCTTCACATCTTTCTGATGCACATTTCTGCTTTTAAAAGCATAAATGATTGGAATGGGCCCACCCAGATAATAATGGAGTATAATATTCTATTAAACATATCTGTCTTACAGTCCTCTCTGCTGTGTAAGGTAATAATCACATATTTGAGGCATTAAGTCTAGACATCTTTGAGAATATTTATGCTTTTATCTATACCATATATTAGAAAATATTGGACTTCATCTGAAGGACAATGGGTGGTTACTGAAGTGGATACATATGATCAAATTTATATTTTCTAAAAGAGCCCTCCAAATGATCTTTACAATCTAAGAAAGAAATCTTTGTCATGCAAGAGAAAGGCAGTTTGGTTATAAATCAGAAAAATGCCTGGAAAATGTGAAACATGAATGGATTTGAGAATCATTTACCAGATTACAATAAAAAAAAGTTTAAGTGGGAGATGAACATGGGTGATGCAAGATAAAACAAATAACACTCAAGTCTCTGGCTAGAATGATTGCATAAACGGAAATGCTATTTTCTAAGACACTAATGCAGGCGTAGGAACAATTTTTGGAAGGACTGCTTTTGTTTGGGGAATACTACATTGTGTTCAATGGGCCATGAAGGCATCCAAGTGCATAAGCTCAGCTGAGAGTTATTTCTAAGTGTTTAAAGTTCAGGAGAGTTGTCTGGACTGCAGCCTTATCTCAGGATGTCATTAGCATATACTTGAATACCAAGGTTCTGGGCCAAGTGTGGAGAGTAAGAAAAATTCAGAATATGAGAAATGGGCAGATGAGATAAAAGAAATAAAAAGTTCTGATACTGATTACTCTAAGACAAGAGAGTGACAAGCACGAGTGTCAACCACATTGACTACTGAGAAAATACAGTAAAGTAGGATAGAAAAAAGCCAAATGAAACACATGGCAATCACCACTGGATTTGGCTTAAGCCATCACTTTGAGGATGGCAAAATAAGAAACAAAATAGGATGCAAATTAATTTTCACAGTAACATGGTTACAAGATGAACATATTTCAGGATGTGGCTAAAGGGACATGTAAGATTATAAAGGTTACTAGTAGGACGTACATTTATAAGGTTGATTTTTGGATAAGACAGAAATATACATATATATATATATACACTACACATGATTTAATTAAAAGTATGCATAATGCCCCAAACTTTGGACAGATGGTATATGACGAATGGAAAGGAATAGTGAAGACAGTTTCTTAATTAATTAATTAATTGATTTTTTGGTTCTTGGTCCATACCCATTGATGCATAGGGATTACTCCTGGCTCTGTGAAATTCATCCTGGTGGTGCTTGAGAGACCATATGGAACACAGGAAATAGAACCCGAGTCAGTCACACTTAAGGCAAGCACCCTACCCGCTGTACTATCTCTCCAGTCCCAGTGAGGACACTTTAACACAGGAAAGATATTTAATTGACCTAATTAGGAGCTGGGGAGGAAATGACCATCTCTTTGGAGTAAGCAGCTACTCTGTGAAAAGGATAGGTGCCACTTCGGGGAAATTCATACGATACTTATCTGGTAGCTTCTTTCTGTCTCTAAATGAGACAGTAATTCAAGGTAGTGTTACAAATGGAAGCTATTCACTGGACAACCAAGAGAGAAGAAAAGTTCAGAGACAGAAAAGCACTGCTGAGCATGGGGATTTGGAATGGGAGAGAAGACCAAATGTGCCAAAATACATATGATGTTGAAATTCAGAAAGATGAGGAATAAGTCATGAAGTGGTAACCTTCCAGCTGAAGACATACAAAATGCAGAGGAGGAAAAACTTGATTTATGAAGTGATTCTTATAGGAATGGCGGTGCCAGCTGGCTAAACTAAATTTGCAAGAGAGCCAGGCCACTCAGGCTTTGCCAGACTTGCTGGGAATGGGGGAGAAAGAACAAAGTGAAACAAGATTTCTTTTTTATTATTATTATTTCTTTCTAAAAATTTTACACACTGAGATTTACAATATTATTAATGATAGAGTTTTGTGCACACAATGAAACTGTTAATGCCCACAGAATGTCCTCTTCTCCTGTCCCCCACCCTCTATCCCCTACCACAGTCAGATCAGTTCTATAGACCACTTCTCAGGCTGTTGCCTTTAGCCATTTGTTATTTTTTTTTATTATATTTATTTTCACCCCACTTAAGAAAGAGGTCATGCTGTATCGGTCCCTCACCTTGGAACTGACTTCACTCAGCATGACACTCTCTGATCTGTAGGATAATAATGGTTTGCCCTTCCTCCCTGGCTGCTGGGAGCTTGTGTTTGTTGATTGCACCCCAACTTGTCAATTACCTTTTTCTGCTGATCAGACTCTGACTTGTAAATAAATATTATCTTTCTCTTCTCCTTAATGTCCTTTGCATAGTTAGCTATTTCAGAGCAATTACTTTCTGTATGGATACAGGAAGACAGTTAAAAAGACAAGCCAATGGCTTGGGAGTTGATTGACTCCAGAGAATATTATCTCCTGAACATCTGCTCTCTCGATTTACGCCTCAGTTGCTCTTACTTCCTAGATCCCCAAAAAGCAGAGTCCCGACAAAGGACTGGATGGATCCAGGGCAACTGGTGAGCTAGGTACCCTGGTATCAAAATAGGCCTAGCCAAAGTGCCATAATGGGGTTCTTGGTGGTGAAAAATGAATACTGGTGAAGGGAAAGGTGTTTGATCATTTTATGACTGAGACTTAAACCTGAAAGCTTTATAACTTTTCCCACAGTGATTGAATAAATAAATATAAGAAGGGGGAAAAGGTGCCATAATGCTTAGCTATAAGTTAAGAGCTTGGTCATGGACAAATCTGCCATCATACAAAAAGTGATAACTAGATTTGGGCCGTGATGGGGTTAGGAATGATTGATCCAGTCTGAGCACTGTAGTCTGGGTTTGTGGTGAGATGTCCCTAGGAGAGTCACCCTACAAGCCTAAAAGTGTCTATTACTGTGTCCATCACTGTCACTGTCCTCCCGTTGTTCATCGATTTTGCTTGAGTGGGCACCAGTAAAGCCTCCATTGTGAGACTTGTTGTTACTGTTTTTGTCATATCGAATACGTCACAGGGAGCTTGCCAGGCTTTGTTGTGCGGGTGGGATACTCTTGGTAGCTTGCCGGACACTCTGAGAGGAACAAAGGAATAGAACCTGGGTCAGCCGCGTGCAAGGCAAACAGCCTACCCGCTGTGCTATCACTACAGTGAGTACTATGTCCATACAGAATGGTAAATTTTAGGAAGTAGAATTAAAAATGTTAATTAAGTTGCTGGTCTAAGAAGAGGAGAAACAACCTTAAGGACTGTTTTGCTCTCGTGAGGTGCAGGTAGTCAGGAAGACTGGAAAAAAACATGTTGATCACGGATTCCCATGGGGAGGCGTGGTTGGTGAGGTGTGGTGAGAGAAGAAAAAGAGCGGCTACAAGGAGGAAGAGAAAGGTTGCACTGGGGGTAGAGAGAGGAAAGAGAAAGATATACGGTTACAGAGAGATAGAAACAGAAGAGGATAGGAGATTACAAGAGATACCAAGTTAGAGAGAAGGCTGAGAGTAAGAGTGGCTGGAGAGATTGAGAGGAGTCCCAGAGAGTTGTAGAGCGAGTTAGAGAGAGGATTGGAGAGAGCTGGGAGAGACAAGAGATTTAATAAACAGCAACTAATCAGCAGCCATGCTTGCCCGTGTTCTTCCTTCATCCATCTGAGGCAATAACTGTTTGGGTGGGAAAGCGGTTCGAGACCACCAAACGTGGGCGGCAAAAGAGAGCCACCCTGAGAGCCCTTGAACACCCTTTTTTATGTGTAATTCTGGAGTGAAAGAGTTAACATAGCTCCACATAAGGGAATTTCACACTGATCCATCAAAGTAGCAGCAGAAACAAGATTTATAACTTAGTTACATTCATAAGCTAGTTAGAATTTCAAGATTGATCAATGTGAAACATCTAGCAGGGTTGCTTGCTAGTTTTCCTCATCACCACCATTGTATTGAAAAATTACCATTGTATTGAAAAATTACAATACAGTTTAGAAAGTAAAAAAAAAAAAGACAAACTGTTGAAAATTCAAAATGGTATGTGGTCAAGCATCAAATGAGAGGTAGAGCAAAAGGATGTGTACTATGATTTGGAAGAGGGAAAATTTGTAAAGACTTCTTGGAAACAAGCTTACAAAATTACATTAGAGGTTGACATGTTCTACTCTCCTAGTTATGTCACCGAGTCAGGAGGAAACAGGGGCACTCCAGAGCCCATCGACTGCAGAATGAGCCCCTGGAGCGCATGGTCAGAGTGTGATCCTTGCCTCAAACAAATGGTAAGCATTCATTGCCCCTGAAGTCCCCACATAGAAATGTTAATGTCAGGATCGTGAGAAAAGAAGAAGATAAATATTGAAGTGAGTGTGCTAAAAAAAAAAAAAAGGAAAATCTAAATGTCACGAGTCTATGGCATGAGTGTCATTGGAGCATATAATACAGAAGAGATTGTCAACTCAGGAGTATGAACCACTTTTGTGGGTTTCATCCATTGACTTAACAGTGTTTGGAGGGTTTCAGTGGTGTGGATGCAGTTTGGGATCATATATTTTATGGCCTTAGAACAATCTGATGATTTCATTGGTTTTGTGCAGTTTCGTTCACGAACCATTGAGGCCTTTGGACAATTTAATGGGCAAAAGTGTCTTGATGCCCTGGGAGACAGGAAAGAATGTTTTCCCACTCGGACCTGTGAAGAGCCTGAGGATGAGTGTGGAAATGACTTCAAGTGTGATACAGGTATTTCCTTGCTCTCTTTCTTTAGTTTCAGGTGAATGTGAGCACTGATAAGCAAAAAAGCCAAATACTCACCCTTTACCAAGTGAGAACAGAGGAACTGGAGAAGTAGTACAGGACTCAATATCGTTGCCTTATTGGCTGCCATCCCGGTCTAATCCCTGGCACTGATATGGTTCCCCAAGCAACACCAAGAGTAATCCCTGAGCACTGACGTTCATGTCCCACTCCAGAAACTCACAACTTACTGGGAAAGGATTATCTAATCAATCCTGTACAAAAAAATGTCAAGTGTATATATTCCCTCCCCCTGCAGAATCAAAGTATGCTTAAATACTTTAGAAAGAGGCTGTTCAGCATGATACAAGTATTCCCTGTTTGTGATTGCAGGCAGGTGTATAAAGAAGCGTCTTCTGTGTAATGACGACAATGACTGTGGAGATTTTTCAGATGAGGATAATTGTGAAAAGGATCCCCAGCCCCCCTGCCGTGGTAAGGTAGTGGAAGAGTCGGAACTGGCCAGGACAGCAGGCTTTGGGTCTGTATTTCACTTAAATCTTTCTATTTTTTGTTCGTTTGGTTGTTTTTATTTTTAATGAATCACTGTAAGGTACAGTTACAGACTTACAAACTTTCATGATTACATCCCACTCATACAACGATCAAGTACCCATCCCTCCACCAGTGCCCATTCTCCACCACTAATGTTCCCAGTATCCCTCCCGAATATTTCTATTTTTTGAGAGGTGGGGCACATCCCTCAATGCTCAGGGCTTATTCTTAGGTCTCTGCAGAGGGATTACTCCTGACTGCTCAAGGGACCATATGAGGTGCCAGAAATTGAATTCAGGTATGCCACATGCAAGGCAAGAGCCCTACCCACTAGACTATCACTCCAGCCCAACCACTTGAATGTTTCTAGGTGAAAAAGCTTGATAAAGATCTCCAACTTCCCTGCCTTGACAGAAAGCTCGAGGATCTGAGCTGGTACAAAAAATAGCTTTTGAAAGGTCTATTTTGTTTAAATTTCATTTGAGCTTGAAATAAGGTAAGTGCTGAATAAGTATTTTGAGAGGGTGTAAAACGTCTGTGCAGGAGAGAAATCTCTTGAGTGTATTAGACAATCCTTTTGTTAAAGTACTTCTGAGACCATCTCATTACTAAACCCTGGAAGACTATTGCAATATTGACATGACTTATTAACATTTGAAATAAAGTTGCCAGTTCTGACAATTTGGTTAAAATATTTGAATTTTCAGAAAGACTGCTTTCCACTGGAATACCTCTTGAACTCTACCTGGTCATAAATCCTCAGGAGATTCCAGCATTCTGAGGTTGAGTTCTGATGCCAGGTGTTAAATGGGCTGAAATGTTGGTTCTGCTGAGTATTGAAGTGTCTTTTTTTTATTTTTTTCCATGTATGTATAGTCACAACAGGGTGATCATATATGCATAGTCAAACAGTAGTCACAACGGAGTCAGAACAAGTAACATATATGAGACATCTCAAGCAGTTTAGATTTCAAGATTATACACAACAGAGACTATTTTCAGAGATCTGTGTTCTTAGAGTTAAGAAAATAACTTAGGTCTGAGGTTCTCTTTTGTTCTGCTTCATAGAGAATTTTACAGGAATATATACATCATAGTCCCCACTAGCTATTCTTTCATTTTGTTTGTTTGTTTGTTTGTGAGCCGCTAAGTGTTTACTCCTGGCTCTGTGCTCAGAAATCACTCTTGTCAGGCCTCAGGGGACTGCATGAGGTTCCAGTGATCAAACCCAGGTTAACCAAATGCAAGAAAAGCTTCCTACATACTGTACCATTGCACCAGTCCCTTCTGAGATGTTTTCTGTGAAGGGCCCTTCAAAGCAGAGGGGAAGCAGGAAACTGCCAGCTGTCCTGACTTGACTCCTCCCAGCCCCAGTCCCAAGAAATGGAAGCAATGCAGCCTCTGGGAACACTGTGTTCCTCAAGATCAGCATTTTGTCCCCTGGTTAGGAAGTCCAAAGAGCTGCAGTCAGGCATTTCCTCCCCTCTTCATATCTCACCACGAGCGTACAAAGAAAATCTAACTCTAATTACCTAGCCATGCAACAACACACAAGAAACACCCCCAGCTGCAAAAGTCGCAATGCGGAAGCAACACAGAACCCCACCACTCTTAGTAACTAAAGATGGTAGCCTTAAAGATTCAACCAGTAATAATAGCTATAGAGCCTCTCTGATAGAGGAAATGTTGAGGATGTTTAAGGAGCTCAAAGAAATGATGGAACTGACCACCAGTAAAATAAGAGGATATGAGAGCATAAATAAGAAAGAAATGACAAAACTGAAAAACCTGGTAGGTGAAATGAAAAACTTGTTGGATGGCCTTACCATCAAAGTAACAGCTTCTGTGGACAGAATCAGTGAGCTCCAAGATAAAATGCAGAAATTCTCCATACAACAGCAAAACATGGGGGGAGCCCCAAAATAAGCAACAGTTGACAAGAGAATTTTGGGGTGAGTTCATTAGGAACAACATAGAGATCTTCAGTGTCCCAGAGGTCTAAGAAGGCATCCCTAATAAAGAAGCAGCAGTCAAAGCCATCATTGCTGGAAATTCCCACGACTGGAGAGCACATGCACCCAGACCCAGAAGGCCCAAAGGGGATCAGTTAAAAGGGATCCCACTAAAACAAACAAGTGCAGATGTCACTTCAACTATACTTTTTATAGTCCCAGGAGTGGTATTGCTGGGTCAAATGGGAGCTCAATTTCTAATTTTTTGAGAATCATCCATACTGTTTTCCAAAAGGGCTGAACCAGTCTGCATTCCCACCAGCAGTGAAGAAGGGTTCCTTTCTTGCCACATCCATGTCAGCACCGGTTGCTTTTGTTCTTTTGGATGTGGGCCAATGTCTGTGGTGTAAAATGATATCTCATTGTGGTTTTGATCTGCATCTCCCTGATGATTAATGATGTAGAGCATTTTCTCATGTGTCTTTTAGCCATTCGGGTTTCTTCTTTGAGAAAGTTTCTGTTCATTTCATTGCCCCATTTTTTGATGGGATTGGATGTTTTCTTCTTGTGGAGTTCAACCAGTACTTTGTATATCCTTGATATCAACCCCTTGTCGGATGTGTATTCGGCAAATATCCTTTCCCATTCTGTAGACTGTCTTTGTATTTTGGTCACTGTTTCTTTTGAGGTGCAGAAGCTTCTTAGTTTAAGATAGTCCCATTTGTCTATCTCTGTTTTCACTTACTTGGCCAGTGGCGCGACATCTTTGAAGATACCATTAGCTTCAATGTCATGGAGGGTTTTGCCAACTTTTTCTTCAATGTACCTTATGGATTCCGGTCTGATGTTGAGGTCTTTAATCCACTTTGATCTTACTTTTGTACATGGCGTTAGGCAGAGATCTGAGCCCACTTTTTTGCATTTAGCCATCCAGTTTTGCCAACACAATTTGTTAAAGAGGCTTTCCTTGCTCCACTTCACTTTTCTTGCCTCCTTATCAAAAATTAGATGACCATATGCTTGGGGGGAGATGTTGGTATATCAACCCTGTACTATTGGTCTACAGCTCTGCCTTTGTTCCAGTACCATGATGTTTTAATTATTACTGCCTTGTAGTAGAGTTTGAAGTTAGGGAGGTTGATTCCTCCCATTGCAGCACTCTTTACAATAGCCAAAATCTGGAAAAAACCTGAGTGCCCGAGAACAGATGACTGGTTAAAGAAACTCTGGTACATTTACACAATGGAGTACTATATAGCGGTTAGAAAAGATGAAGTAATGAAATTTACATACAAGTGGTACTACATGGAAAGTATCATGCTAAGCGAAATGAGTCAGAAAGAAAGGGATAGACATAGAAAGATTGCATTCATCTGGAGAACATAAAGGTAAAAGGTAAAGGCCCTCCCATTGATCATCAATTTGCTCGAGCGGGCCCAGTAACGTCTCCATTGGAGACTTTGTTGTTACTGTGTTTGGCATATCGAATATGTCACTGGGAGCTTGCCGGGCTCTGCCGTGCGGGTGAGATACTCTCGGTAGCTTGCTGGGCTCTCTGAGAGGGGCGGAGGAATCGAACTTGGGTCGGCCATGTTGACTGAGTGCAAGGCAAAAGCCCTACCACTGTGCTATCGCTCCAGGAGACTAACACCCAAGAGTGGCCAGGATTAGTACCAGGAGGTTTGCTCCATGGCTTGGAGGCCAACCACACATACTAGGGGAAAAAGGCAGCTCAGATAGAGAAGGGAGCACCAAATAAAGGGTGTTGAGAGGATCCTCCCAGGATGGGAGAAGCATGCTGAAAGTAGAGTATAGACCAAACATGATTGCCACTCAATGCCTCTTTTGCAAACCACAACACCCAAAAGAAGAGAGAACAAAAGGGAATGCCCTGCCACAGAGGCAGGGTGAGATGGGGGGATGAGGGATACTGGGATCCGTGGTGGTGGGAAATGGGCACTGGTTGAGGGATGGGTATTTGATCATTGTATAATTGAAACCCAAGCACAAAAATTTGTAAGTCTACAACTGTACCTCATGGTGTCTCACTAATAAAAATTTTTAAAAAATAAAAAATAAAAAAGGGGATACCGCTAAAAAATACTCCAAGACATATCCTAATCAGAATGATGAAATTCAAAGACAGGGACAGAATACTAAAAGCAGCAAGATCAGAAAATGAAATTATATGCAAAGGGGTATTCATATGATTTATAGCAGATTTATCAAATAAAATCCATTGGGCCTGAAGACAATGGTTGGAAATAGTAAAAAAAAGAAAAGAAAAGAAAAGAAAGAAAGAAAGAAAGAAAGAAAGAAAGAAAACAAAAGAAAAAAGAAATTTGTTAAAAACCTCAATGAAATTAATGTCTCACCAACAATACTTTACCCAGCCACATTCTCATTCAGATTTGAAGGAATGATACACAACTTCACTAGATATTTCTGTAAAGGCACCTTGGGTGGATTTGTTAAAATATTGTCACCAATAGAAACACCCTCTTCCCCCACCCACTGTTGCATTCTTGACCATGCAAAGCACTTCATCATCTTTATAATTCTAGTGTCTGATTCTCAGTGAGAAATAACATTTTTCTAAAATACTGTTTATTGGAGGGCTGGAGCGATAGCACAGCGGTAGGGCGTTTGCCTTGCGCGCAGCAAGCCCGTCCGAGCTGGGTTTGATTCCTCTGCTCCTCTCAGAGAGCCGGGAAAGCTACCAAGAGTATCTCGACCGCAGAGCAAAGCCTGGCAAGCTACCCATGATGTATTCAGTATGCCAATATGCCAAACACAGTAACAACAAGTCTCAAAATGGAGACATTACTGTGCCGCTCGAGCAAATTGATGAACAACGGGAGGATAGTGCTACTGTTCATTGACATCAGACGAAAACTATGTACCTAGAAAGAAATTCAGATTCAGGACTCCAGATCTTGAAATGGGGATGGGAAGAGGGGAAAAAAGATAGGATTGAAATGAAGGGAAGAGCAAGGTTTCTGAAGGAACTAAAGTTGTAGTTCTCAAGTAGAAGTGGGTTTCCACCCAAGGATCCATATGCTGATCCCTGGAGAGGGTTTTGGTGGTTACAACTATAGGATGTGAAGTGGAGAGGCTTAGAGAACTCGACGAGCTCTTCTGACAGCCAGTGGTGCAGCGGGCCTGAATGATGACCAAGTATCCTACAATGCACAAGACAGCTGGGCCCAAACCGTCTGTCATTCTGAGGTTGAGAAATTTACAGTACAACACTGAATCTTTTCTGAGATCACCTTTATATCAAGTTTGACAAAAAAATGAAGACACTTCCTCCCTCTTCACCCTCTCCCACTCCTTTAAAAATAAGAAGAAAAACTTTTAGGGTAGTAAGAGTTATAAGCCAGTTAAAACATTTTACACATTCTTTACTCAGTTTTCTAAAATGTGGTCTAATAGGTCAAGATTTTGCAATTGCTTCTCACAGTGACTTTGACCTCTTGCCTAAAGGTAAGAATTCTGAATAAATGGTCTTGGTTCCCAAGCCCAGCAGAGGCCCTCTTAACACTTTGCAATAAGCAGAATGGGTGTTGCCCAAAACTTTATAACAGATTAGCATCTGGCTTCTGACTTTCCTTGTCATTTTCATCATGAAGAACTTATAACTGATGGTAATTGCCATCATGCTTTTATCTGGCTTTATAATTTTCCTCGTAACTTAAACAAAAGGGCTTTTCACAATACAAGTTTTCCTTTGTTTTATAAAGATGTCTCATGCCAAAATCTTGGTCCATTTAACTGGAAAAAAAATATTCCTAACATATTGGGTTTATTTGTTCATGAAGGGGAAAATTTTACCTAGAATTTGCAAGAAAATGTCACAGTGTGGTGCTAGCCAGAACTCCTGAAATACCTCTCAATTTCCCACAGTCGGGGCTGGTTTGGGGAATCTCCCAGTCTGAGCCCTCAGGACGAGGGAAGAGGGAATGTGGGTGGGGTACCACCCTAGAGGGAAGTCAGATGAAGAGGTAGGAAATGAGCTAAGCACTGATATAATTAGTTCAGCAACAATTTTTATTAAATTTTCCATAGCAATGAATGGTTTCCAATGGACAGGAGCAACAGCACAGAGGGTAGGGTGTTTGCCTTGCACGTGGCCAACCCAGGTTTGATTCCTCCGTCCCTCTCGGAGAGCCCAGCAAGCTACCAAAAGTATCCCGTCCGCAGAGCAGAGCCTGGCAAGCTCCCCATTGCACATTCAATGTGCCAGAAACAGTAACAACAAGTCTCACAGTGGAGACGTTACTGATGTCCGCTCAAGCAAATCGATGAACAACAGGAGGGCAGTGACAGTGACAGTGATGGGAATGAACAGCAATATTTATCTACTTGTTATAAAATGCTCTGGCAACTTTTTGTCTGAATTCTTTGGAACACTCCATCTTTTTTGTTTGTTTGGTTTTGTTTTGTTGTGGTGTGTGTGTGTGGGAGGAGGGTTACACCTAGCAACAAAAAAATTTTTGTGAATGTTTAAGGAGCTCAAAGAAACAAGGAATTGGTGAGTGGAATTATAGTACAGTGGGTAGGGCATTTGCCTTGCATGCAGCCGACCTGGGTTCAATTCCCAGCATCCCATATGGTCCCGATCACCGACAGGGGTAATTTCTGAGTGCAGAGCCAGGAGTAACCCCTGTGCATCACCAGGTATGACACAAAAAGCAAAAAAAAAAAAAAAAGAAAGAAAGAAAAAAAGAAAGAAAGAAAAAGAAACAAGGAATTACTCCTGGGAACTCCTAAACTATTACCCAAATAATGGAATTAAGAGTATAGAAAGCCTTATTAGACATTCAATATTCTTCATTACTGTTAACATTACATATATATTTACTAAACATCACCATTACACTTACATGAGATTAGGGGCCTGTATTGAATAGAAGTTATAGCAACATCCTACAGACTGTTTCTATAAAATCCAATCTGTCATACCTCAGCGGTAACATACAGATTCTCTTAAACATGAAAGTAACAAGCACTCTGGTAATTAATTTATGCTCTTATTCATTTGACTTAATCTGTCTTTCAAATTCTTAACACAAGATTGTTCAGTTGTATCATAAATGCTTTAACCTCTTGTCCTGTAGATTCTGAGATTCTTCAGAAGAGTTTAGGGAAATCCCCAACCCATCTTGCATTCATTGAAAAAATATAAATGCAAGCTGGCTGCAGTGGTGTACAAGAGACAGGGAATGCCATTTCTGTGTGATCTAAGCATAATACCACTTCTGTGGCAGGAGCTTTCTCTTTAGTTCACCTGGTAAATTGGAAGTGTCTGTGGTTCTAGATGCAGGTATGGAAACAGGCATCTCTGTGTTTTGCCAAAGAACACATGTTTTTTATTTCCCAGGCGATGACATTCCATCCATGAGAAGTTTTCATGTTTCTTGGTGAAAAAGAAAAAATTGGCTCATTCTAGACTAGACTGGCTGTCTCTTTAGCAGTGGAACCAAGTCAAAATTTTGAAACATTTCTTCCTTACTTGTGCCTCAGACTGTGGATCAATTGCATTGTAACTTTCCAGATGGATCCAGCCAACAGGTCAATTTGCTGTTCTGAGAAATAAAAGTCTTCCAACTGGGATATTTACCTGTCGTAAGGTGCAAAAAATCATTCCAAGGAGGGATTGGCATGTTTTAAGATTATAGCTAGGATGACTATTACTTACTTCACCATCCTAATAGTAAACCCCAAGTCCTTATGTATATAATTTTCAAAAAAATCAATGAGCCTGGTGACTTGATGGCATTCAAGTTTTGAAACCCATTGTCCTTTGTCAACTGCTCCTTATGGTCACCTAACTCCAACTTTCTAAGAGAACACCCCTCACTCATCTCAACTTTCACTGTGGGCTGTACTCTAAATATTGGTATACAACTCTAAATATTGTATACAATTATACTCTAAAACATGTACATAAAGTAGCCTCCAGTTTTTTTTTATCAAGAAGCACATTGAACAATTTCCTAATCAATTGTCAGAGAGGATTGTAAAATGATTTTTGATGAAAGATTAAGAGGTGACCTATCTTTTGATATAAAACTTTGATCAAATAATAGAGTAAACAAAAACAAATTCTATCAAGTCCTCCTAGTTCTGAGGCTCTTTTTGGTGACCCATCAAAAGATGTTGATCTTTCCCTCCTAGAAATTTGTACAACTCTTACATTTCGTATTCGTGTGACACACCTGTATTCTTCCTTAGACTATTTCTTGAAATTGGTGATTGAATATCTAGCTTTCTACCTTGAATACAATTGTTGCTCCATTTTTTAAAATCTGCTTTATAAAAAATGAACTGCTTCTTGCTCATGTATTTTTTTAAACCGACAAATCAAATGTAACATTCTTGAAATGAAGCAAGATTCCAAAATCTGAGTCAAAACTTGCCAAATAAAGACATTTTTGCAAGGAAAAAAATGCCCAACTCTAAAGAATGCTTTATAGGAATGCTGAAATGTTTGTGTTCTTCTTAGTAAGTATAAAAGAAATAATATAAAAACCTAGAGGAATGTGGTTCTTGACAAGCTGTGAGACAGCTGGAGCAAAGGACTAAAGTGTAGAGAGAAAGGGAAAAAAAAGAGCCTTCAGGTTGATTCACAGATTGAAAATGTCATGCATATGCTATACAGTCTCTTTGAGATGCAATGTTCTCAAATTATTTAAATGGTTGGTATAACAACATTGGCTTTTAGTACCACTCAGGGACGTTATAGCAATGGAATTTAGTCTTTGGGAACCAAATGGTCCCTTGCTTCTGTCTTATTGCATTTTTTCAGTGTGCTTTCAACTGTGCCCCACATTGCTTAAAACAACATGCTTTTTGCCAGAGACAAGACCCAACTGGATAGGCTCTCTCCTGATTGCGCTGCGTGTCTGTTGGGCACTGAGGAAATGGACCCCTGTAACTGCCCTTCTCCTTATTCTCTGAGCTCTGTCTTTCATGAGCTCCTGCTAGCTTCATACCTGGTGCTTCTCTCTTTGTTCTCAGCATGAACATTTTAGGGATGGATCCGCTCTCCACCCCTTTTGACAATGAGTACTACCATGGTCTCTGTGACCGAATTCGAGATGGAAATACTTTAAATTACTACCGGAAACCTTGGAATGTGGCAACTCTGGCTTATGAAGTAAGTGTCCTCAGAAAACAGTACACATTCGACTTGCTTCTGTTACTGTTTGTTCTCATTTTGTTTGCGTGTGGAAGCTCCTAAACATTGCTCCAAAAGCCCTGGGGTCTCTTCTGACACTATTCAGTCAGGTCCAATGGTTCAATGCTAGGGTCCAGAATTTCAGTACTATTAGGACCCAGCAGAGCTGGGGGGCCACTAGGGCCACACTCAGTGACGCTGGGGTGAGCAGTATGCTGGACTGGGCATCAAACTGCAGGCCTTGTGCATGCTTACCTGTATATTACTGAAACTCCAGATGAATTAGTAGTTGCATCGCATAATCAAACACTGTATTTTTATAGCAAAGTAGTAGAAATAAAGATGCAAGTAACTTTTTATCAGTTCAGATCAAATAAATGGACCAAGTGAGTTTCATTCCTGGGCATTTTTATATTTTTTATAGCATGGGTGAGGGGAATCATAGACTTGAATATTGATTTGACATCAATTGAGTAAAAGGTTGATAAAGTTGTGCTGGGAGAGAATGGTGGGTAGTGGCATTGCACAAGGCAAGTGCCTTACCCAGGGTACTAACTAGTGGCCCTTCTTTTTTAAAATGTAGTTAATAACAGACTTAGATACTGGTGCAAACACAATTAGTGTACACTTTGTAGATAAATTAAATCAAATTTGCTGACCACTTAAAGTCAGAAGTAATGGCGAAGAATAACTGAAGCTTATAATTACGTCTTTTCAGAAGTGATGATCATGTATCACACTGTGGCACTGTCCTCCCATTGTTCATCCATTTGTTTGAGCAGGTACAAGTAACGTCTCCATTGTGAGACTTGTTGCTACTGTTTTTGGCATATTGAGTGCACCACGGGGAGCTTGCTAGGCTCTGCCGTGCAGATGAGATGCTCTTGGTAGCTTGCTGGGCTCTGCGAGAGGGACGGAGGAACAGAACCTGGGTTGGCCTCGTGTAAGGCAAGCGCCCTACCCGCTGTGCTATCGCTCCAGAGCTGGATGACCACATGTATATATGAATTAATTTCTTTTTTACTTGTGTTTTTTTGGTTTCCCCACCCACATTTTAGTTGCTGAAAGAATTTAGAGATGTAAATGATATTTTAAGTTTTTATTGTATTGTTTTAAACAATAATTTCTCTTAAATTTTGAGAGGTCTGGAGATATAATACAGAAAATAAGTCACTTGTATTTCATATGGTTGATTCAGCTGACCCTAATTTGATTGATTTATGGTACCATATATGATCCCCTGAGCATCATAGTGTGTAGCCCAGAAATAATAACAATAAGAATAATAAGTTTTTTAATTTTATTTGAAAATTTAACAAAAATTTGTAAATTATGCCCAGATTATAATCATCCTTTGGTCTCAAATCCTGCCAAAAATCTCAACTTTCCTATCATATGAACTGCCAAAAATTTCTTGCTACCTTCTTAATTTTCTATATCTAGTATACTTAATTGCAATATCTCTAGACAGATACTAGAATTTTTGTTCTTTAAAATTATGCTGTTCCTCATCAAAAAATGGGGCGACAAAATGAACAGAAACTTTCTCAAAGAAGAAATCCGAATGGCAAAAAGGCACATGAGAAAATGTTCTACATCATTAATCAGGTAGATGCAGATCAAAGTAACAATGAGATATCATCTCACACCACAGAGATTGGCCCACATCCAATTGAACAAAAGCAACCAGTGTTGGCGTGGATGTGGTGAGAAAGGGACTCTCCACTGCTGGTGGGAATGCTGACTGATTCAGCCCTTTTGGAAAACAGTATGGGCGATTCTCAAAAAATTAGAAATTGAGCTCCCATTTGACCCAACAATACCACTCCTGGGAATATATCCCGGCAAGGAAAAAAGTACAGTCGAAATGACATTTGCACTTGTATGTTCATTGCTGCATTGTTCACAATAGCCAAAATCTGGAAAAAACCCGCGTGCCCAAGAACAGATGACTGGTTAAAGAAACTTTGGTACATCTACACAATGGAGTACTATGCAGCTGGTAGAAAAGATGAAGTCATGAAATTTACATACAAGTGGTACTACATGGAAAGTATCATGCTAAGTGAAATAAGTCAGAAAAAGAGGAACAAACATAGAAATATTGCATTCATCTGGGGAATATAAAGTAACAAAATAGGAGACTAACATCCAAGAATAGTCAAGATAAGTACCAGGAGATTCACTCCATGTCTTGGAGGCCAGCTGTACATGGAAGGGGGAAAGGCAGCTCAGATAGCAAAGGGAACACCAAGTAAAGGGTGTTGCCCAGAATGGGACATGTATGCTGAAAGTAGACTATAGACCAAACATGATTGCCACTCAATGCCTCTTTTGCAAACCATAGCACCCAAAAGGAGAGAGAGAACAAAAAGGAATGCCCTGCCACAGAGGCAGGGTGGGGTGGGGGGGGGACGGGTGGGGGGGAAGGATACTGGGATCATTGGTGGTGGAAAATGGGCACTGGTTCCATAGCTGGGAACCTGCCTCATGAGCTAAGGGGAGAAGGCAGGTGGATTATAGAAGGTATCACTAAGAAAAAGATGGCTGGAGGAACTAGTTGGGATGGGAGATGTGTGCAGAAAGTAGATAAAGGACCAAACATGATAACCCCTCAGGATCTGTATTGCAAAACATTATGCCCAAAAGTAGAGAGAGATTATGGGGAATCATATCTGCCATGGAGGCAGAGGGAGGGTGGGAAAGGGGGGTTATACTGGGGATATTGGTGGTTGGGGAATGTGCACTGTTGGAGGGATGGGTGTTTGATCATTGTGTGATTATAACCCTAAAATTAAAGCTTATAACTATCTCATGATGATTCAATAAAATTAATAAGAAAAAAAGAAGAAATATAAAAAACGAAAGAAAATGGGCACTGGTGGGGGGATGGATACTCAATTATTGTATAACTGAAACCCAAACACAAAATTTTGTAAGTCTACAACTGTATCTCATGGTGTTTCACTAATAAAAATTTTAAAAAATTTTAAAAAATTAAAAAAAAAACTATGCTGTTCCTGGAATCCAACATTCAACACCAACTCATCCAAATTGCATGCTTATTTATAACCACTTATATATTTGGATCCTACCTATATATCTCTGGTTCTTTATAATCCATTTCTCACTTATTATCACTTGTTTCTCCACCCTCTTATTCCTCTAGCAACAATAGATCCATTTCAACTATATTATATTATATTATCAGTCTTCTTGCTTTTTGGTCTTGTATGATCCATGCTTGTATCAGCATTGTATGTTGGTGTTTCCAAGGGACACTATATAAGGTGTGCTTACAGAAACTTCTGCCTAAAGTATAAAGGTTAAGAAGATTAAAGTGCTGACAATTCTACTTAAGTTAACATGTATAAAATATAGGACTTGGATATACATTTTTAATGATTTAGTTTTTCTTCTTTAAAAAATTGCAAACTAAGGTATAATGTGTATTTTTTATTCAAATGACTTTCAATTATAATAACTTTTGAAAGCTTGCTCTTTTCTGTCTTTTCTATGTATTATATCATATGAAATCCTCATCATCTTTCGGTTGATAGATGTAGTGAGTCTGGCTCTTACATAAGGCTCATATGAGGCTCAGGAATGAGATCAGTCAAGAGAGATTATTGAGGGATAGCCTCAAAGTTATGGAGCCTGCATGTGAATCCCAGAGTCTGACTTCATTGTCTTAGCTCTTCAGTCCTTTGCTCTATGGCCTTTCAACTAATTTCTTGATTTTTTCTTCTTGCTATTTATTTTGGATGGATTTTTAACTATACTGTTATTCTATTTCAGACCAAAGCTGATAAAAATTTCAGGACTGAGTTTTATGAAGATCAAATTGAATCATTCAAAAAGTTTGTCCGAGAGAAGATAAAAACTTTTAATGCAGGTTTTAGTCTGAAATTCACACCTACTGAAACAATTCAACATCTGACAAAATCTGAAGACTCTCCTACAAACACAACACCCTCAAACTCCTCAATTCCTTTAAAGTTTGACAGTAAACTTCAATTTTCATATTCAAAAAATGAAACTATACAAAGGTTACTGTCATATTCTGCTCAGACGGTAAGACTAAGCACTTAATCTAAAGAAAATAATAGGATATTACAAACTAACCTAATCTCTCTTTAAATTTAAATGTCTAGAGCAGATAGGGATAGATCACAGGAAGAAAAGAATAATCAACAAATCCTTTTCAGATATGTAATCAGAAGGTCAGACTGAAATAATGATAACTGAAGAAAATAATGAGTGATATTTGACTGAGTTAGTAATAGACTGTTTATAGGATCCTTTGAATTACAAAGGAAAATTTGAAGAATTTTTGTAATTCTTTCTATTGGCTTAGAATAATGACTATCTATCACAGAGGATTTCTGTAAAGTAACAATCCAATAAAAGCATATCCTTGTCCCAATTTAACAATAATTCAAGGCCAGGAAAGTAGCTCAAAGGGCTTGAGCGCATTTTGCATGCAGAATCTCTGATTTTGCTACCATGAACCGTGTCTCTTGGACTGGAGTGATAGCATAGCGGGTAGGGCGTTTGCCTTGCAAGCAGCCAACATGGCTGACCTGAGTTCAATTCCTCCACCCCTCTTGGAGAGCCCGGCAAGCTACCAAGAGTATCTCGCCCGCACAGCAAGGCCTGGCAAGCTACCCGTGAGGTATTTGATATGCCAAAACACAGTAACAAGTCTCGCAATGTAACTGGGCCTGCTCAATCAAATCGATGAACAATGGGAGGACAGTGACAATGAACCTTGTCTCCTGAACTCTGAACTGGAGAAGTTCTAAGCACAGTTGGGTGTAGTTCAAAAAATAAAAACAAAAGCAAAAAAAAAACCCAAACGAACAGAAGAGAGCTCAGAGAATATGCTCTGCATGCTGGAGATCCAGGTCCAGTCTGCAATGCCATCTGGTCCCCTGAGTTCCTCCAGGAAAATAGTCCCTAGCACCAAGTCAGGTATGGCCTCAAAGCAAAAATTAAATAATAAAAATTCATCCAGTTACATACATTATTGCTAATTTCACAATTATTTTATTTCTTGACATTGCCTCTACATTCACATGTGTATTCACAATAGCATAGATTTGGGTAGAAAATTCTTAGCCAATAAATATTTGTGAATTTACTATGTGGACAAGCACATTGGTCTATACTAGTGATAGAATATATTAGGGAACCATACCCATGAAATGCATTTCCTCATGAGCTGAAAATTAAATAGGGATACAGAGACAAAATGATAAGCTTGAAGTTGTATACTCATTAGAAATGAGTGATAAATGCAATGGAATAAAAAGAAACAGAGTAACAAGAGAAATAGACTTGCAGGACATGTGGCAGTATTAAAAAGGAAGATCAAGGACTTGAGAGATAATTCAGGAGATAACCTTGCAGATAACCTTGATTCAAATCCACTGCACTACATATGGTCCTGCAGGTAGTACCAGGAGTCACTCCTGAGCACAGAGCCAGGAATAGTTCATCATCCTTCGGTATGGCTCCGACCCCCAAACCCCTCACCCAAAAAGAAAGGAAGCTCAACCTTAGTTAAAGAGATAAGATATGAACAAAGATTAAAGAAGAGAAACTCAAACAGTCATATTTAAAATTACATAGTTGGCTTGCATCATTGTTATACAAGTCTTGGAAATGGGACATATGCCTTAAAAGATAAAGGATTTAAATTATCTAAAAGTTTTAAATTTCCAGGCAATCAATATGTACTCATCAAATCCATGATAGGAGTACTTTAAAAGAATAACTGATCTATATAATCGGTCTTAATTGCATTTTATTTTTTATTGAGACTGAACTGAGTGACAGAATTCTGGTTGCTGTCCCATTTTTCTCTTGGAAATTTAATCAGTCATTCCTGGGAGCATTGAATTGTTATTTATACATCAACTTGAACCCATTTCTTAAAACATTGTCTGTCCTGCAGCATTACTGAAAGGGTGTGGGTTAAGATCTGGGTTTTAAGTACTAATGCTCTCAATTCTACTTTGTGTGGTTTGTGTAGAATCAAATAACTTGATTCTACTGGATAAGAGTTTTCTTATCTACAAAATAAGGAGATTGGGTCTCATTTAATGTCGCCATTTTCTTCTCTAGGTAACACTTTTAGATTAATGAGGTATCATTTACAATAATAATTATGTATATTTAAGCAAATACATTCATGAGTTCTGACGGCCTCATCCACCTGTACATCCACCTTCTCAAACAGGGTGTAAAAACTTTCCCATCACAAAATTCTCTGAAACCTTTTATAGTTAGTTCTCTGTCACCAAGAGCTAATCACTGGCTCAATTTCTCTGACCATAAATGTTTTTCTCTGCTTCTGGAATTTCATCTAAATCTAATCATACAACATATACTCTTTTATGCAATGTAGCATTTTTAAAACTTAGTTATATTCTTGCATGTATTAGTAACTTGTTACTTCATAGCTTAATTCTTTTTTTTTTTTGACACCAGACCCACCATTATTATTTGAGATTTTACCCCAACACTCAGATCTGCTGAAAAGGCAACAGTAGACAGTTTGTGTTCTATTGCTGGTTATGAATAACATATGATGTCCGTGGCTGCAGTAGGGTCATGTGATTTTGAAATTCCAAAATTTTAATACTTAAATCTGGAGGGATTTCTGCCAAAAGCCACTGGGTTTCGATATTTGCTCCTGAGTCTCTGGAATCATGGCTGTTGAGCAGCTTGACCAGGAGCCAGAGAGGCCGTTCGTGGGCGATGACTTGGGGTCTCGTTGGGGTGGGGAGTACAGGCCCGGCTCCACCCCCATCCTGTGAGGCCCAACAAGTTTTGTTACTGCAGGCCCAAGCCTGACTATCCAATGGCCTCTGGAGGATGACGGCCACCGAGCCGCCAGGGGGAAGCAGACAGAGGGATAGCACCCTTTCCCTCCTGGGGTGACCCAGCAACAGTAACCTACTGCGGGGTCCAGCCGCAGTTCTGCCAAAAGTCGCTGGGTTTCCAGATTTGTTTCTGAGTCTCTAGGATCATGGCCGTTAAGCAGCTTGATCAGGAGCCAGAGAGGCCATTCGTGGGCAATGACTTGGGGTCTTGTTGGGGTGGGGAGGACAGACCCGGCTCCCCCCCCCCCCCAGTCCCGTGAGGCCCAACAAGTTTTGTCACTGTGGGCCCAAGCCTGACTGTCCAATGGCCTCTGGAGGATGACGGCCACTAAGCCGCCAAGGGGGAGCAGGCGGAGTGACAACAACTTTTCCTCCCTGGGGTGGCCTGGCGACAGTAACATACTATGGGGTCTGGATGCATTTCTGTCAAAAGCCACTGTGTTTCGAGATTTGTTTCTGAGTCTCTGGGATCATGGCCATTAAGCAGTTCAATCAGGAACCAGAGAGGCCGTGCCTCCAATTATATAGCTGAGCCGGAGGTGGTTTGTGGGTGTTTCTCACATACCTAACTTTTGGCCGTTTACTTTCTTGGTAAACTTTGCCCCAAGTTTTTGGGGTCTGGCCAAAGGCACAGCAGCAATTTTGGGGTATCTGGAAGTCTGAAGGTGCGTGCCATGAGGCTGCTGATGCACTCGCCTCACAGATACAGACTGACCTGCTGGCGGCACCGTACCCTCACATAGCTTAATTCTTTTTTAAAGAGTATGTTACAATGTTTACAGATTCCCCATTGAAATTCACACTGTTTCTAATTTTAAGATATTCTAACTAAAATTTGCTCCAGCGGCCCAGTAACATCTCCATTGGAGACTTTGTTGTTACTGTGTCTGGCATATCGAATACTCTTGGTAGTTTGCAGGGCTCTCCGAGAGGGGCGGAGGAATCGAACTCGGGTCGGCCATGTTGGCCGCTTGTAAGGCGAACGCCCTACTGCTGTGCTATCGCTCCAGTCCTAAAATTACTCTAAAAACATTCTGTAAGGTGTGTGTGTGTATGTGTGTTTGTGTGTGTATGAATTTTATTTAAGGAAGATGTGAAGCAGAATTTCTGACTGACTATAGGTCAAATGTGAGTTTACTTTATAAGAAACTGCCCAACGGTTTTCCAAAATGATATTGGTATTGGAGGTATTTGGGGGATTAGGGATCCCTTCTGGATTTAGGGATCAATTCCAGCAATACTCAGGTCTTACTTCTGACTCTGGGCTCAGGGATCACTCCTGGTAGTACCCAGGAAACCATCTGTGGTGCCAAGGATAGAACCATGGTAAACCACAAGCAAGGAAAGTACCTCACCCCCATACTCTCTGGCCCCTTGGTAATATTTTTTAAATTTAGTCTCTCTATTGGGCTAAAGTATCTCATGGGTACTTCTGAAAAAAATTACTGCCTTATTCAAATTCTGAATGTTCCAAGCTTGTAATGTGAAACCATGCTAATGAAACTCGTGTTTCTCTTGTTTGCTTTACAATAAAGGGTAAAGTATTTATGCATGTAAAAGGAGTAGTTCATCTGGGAAGATTTATGATGAGAAATCGGGATGTCATGGTGACAACAGCTTTCTTGGATGATATAAAAGCTCTTCCAGTTGCCTATGAAAAAGGAGAATATTTTTCATTTTTGGAAACCTATGGAACCCACTACAGTCACTCTGGGTCTGTAGGAGGACTATATGAACTAGTATATGTTTTGGATAAAGCTTCCATGCGAAGACAAGGTATACCTAGAAATAGAGTTTCCAACTTATGATACTGCTTTAACCAAACTTTTTTTTATATTACTAATATTTTACACTGCTTAACAGCTTAGAGCAGCCCTGTAATGAGCTCCTTGGAGAGAATTTTCTTCCCGACCTTTGCATCTAAAATTCTATCAAGTGATAAACTGATTTTCGCCTTTAATGTAATGATTTGGTGATATACAACTCAGCAGCATTCTGAAAAATAAAAAGCAAATAAAAACTGTATTATAACAATATTATTTGACAATGATATTTTTAGTAAAAATGCTGTTTAAAGGTTTATAGATGTGAGCAGATAAGTTACATAACTGACTAACTTTAATCAGCAGACTAATTTGATAATATGAATGACCATGTTCTTCCAAAGTACTTTTCAATATTAAAAGGGAAATATTGTTCTGAATTTTTAATGAAGAGGCAATGTGAGCATTTTATAAGTGTAACATATTTTTTTAAAAAATGTATAAAATTGGGGCTGGAGCTATAGCACAGCAGGTAGGGCATTTGCCTTGCATGCGGCCAACCCGGGTTCAATTCCCAGCATCCCATATGGTCCCCCAAGCATCACCAGGAGTAGTTCCTGAGTGCATGAGCCAGGACTGACCCCTGTGCATTGCCGGCTGTGACCCCCCAAAAAATGTAGAAAATTAGCTTTACCTCATCTCATGACAATTCTGAACATGATGGTAATTGATTTAAGTCTATGTTCAATAGATTCCTGGTCACACTTAAAATCGATACCAAGAAGGGGCTAAAGAAATAGTACAGCAATCAGGGCACTTGACTTGCATGCAGCTGTCCTGGGCTCAATCTCTAAAACTCCCCCATACAGAGTGATCCTTGAGCACAGAACCAGGAGTCATTCTGAGCATCGCTGGGTGTGGTCAAACACAAACAAAAAATCACTAGAAAAAGGGTCTTGGTAGCACCCCAATGTCTTTAATATGTACAGGAGAGGTTTCTGTGCTACAAATTTCCTGGCTCTGCAGCAATTTATTAAATTTTGTAAAAATAATATAAATATAACTTGTCTATTAATAAATTTAATTGTTCATTTTATAAGTAATAGTTACTAATTATTACTTCAAGAGGATATAAATAATAGTGTATATCTTCTCTCTTCTCTGTTAGTTTTGGAGTACTTCCTTAGGCATCAAATTTTTTCTTTTGTCAGAAAAAGCACTTTTTTTGATCTCTGTGCTAAGAGCTAAGTTCTGAACAGGCTTAGGAGACTGTATAGAATGCTAGGAACTGAACCTGTGTCAGCTGCATGTAAGGCGAGCACCTAACAAGTCATACTCTCTCAGGCCCTTTATGTCTTTTTAAATAAGAGTAAATTGATATGCCTTTTGCAACCAAGTTGATAAGTAAAGCCAAAAAGGAGGTCAATAGGTTCTAATATGAAGACAAATCAAAGCAGGTAAGACCTTGCTTTTGAGTCTAGTAGTAGTGATGTCTAGGCATAGAAAAAAATCTATTTCTTACAAAATAATAAAACTGAAATGTATGTGTGAGATTGATAGACAGTATTTCATCATTTTCAACTAAATACAGGTGTTGAACTAAGGGATGTACGGAGGTGCCTCGGATTTGAAGCAAGAATTTCTTTGAGCTTTGCAGTTGAAGCCTCAGCAAATATTAGTAGCAAGTCTTGTCTAACAGAGAAAAAAGATAACAAGGGTAAGTAGTGCATAGCTTCTCAAGCCAAAAAATTGGGTCCAGGAAAGAGGTCAGTGAGAGCTCAGGTCTTCCATTATGTACCCTATTTATTGTTGACCCTCTTTATTAGAAAGGGCTGGAGCAATAGCAAAGCAGGTAGGGCGTTTGCCTTGCATGTGGTGGCTGACCCAGGTTCTATTCCTCCGTCCCTCTCAGAGAGCCCGGCAAGCTACAGAGAGCATCCCGCCCGCAGGGCAGAGTCTGGAAAGCTCCTTGTGATGTATTCAATATGCCAAAAACAGTAACAACAAGTCTCACAATGGAGTCATTACTTGTGCCCACTAGAGAAAATCGATGAACAACAGGAGGACAGTGCTACAGGGCTACAGTGCAGTGCTTTATTGGGAAAAAAAAACTAAAAGTGATTAAAACCATTTCCTCTTACACTGGTTTCTGTCCTGTGATTCAATAGACATGAATGCAGTCACTGATATTTCTCTATGTAGTGTTGCTGCTCTGTGAAGTCTGGTCGCTGCAGATGAGTCTATTTACTGTGGCATAAAGAATAGACCAACAGCAAAATACAAGATTAAACTCCCTAATCTATCCCTAACATTTCATCAGTGAATAGCCTTTTAGAAAATATGTCTCTGGGATAAATATTTTTTCCGTCATTTTTCAAAATTGAGGTAGTGATAGAGTCTTGACACTTATTCTCCTCAGGAATATCTGAGATGTTTTGTGGTGTTTTCAGTATTCATTGCAGTGAGCTTAGGACAGCTTAGCGGAGAGGTAGGAAGTTGTTCAAAAGAATATGATGGAACTATTCAGAACCGGGCTTGCAATTGTGCAGGAAGTGGGTTGGGGTGAGGGTTAATGAGGTGGGGATGTGGGGGAACCCTGAGACCTTGGTAAAGGGAAACAGACACTCTGGTGGACGGTGTGGTGCTAGAACTTTGTATGCACGAAATCCTATGGTGAACAGCTTTGTAAGTCATGGTACCTGACTGGGGAATAAAGTAAAAATAAAAATAAAAGGGACTGGCGTGGTAGCACAGCAGTTTGCCTTGCACATGGCTGCCCCAGGTTCGATTCCCAGCATCCCATATGGTCAACCGAGCACCACCAGGAATGGTTCTAGAGTGCAGAGCCAGGAATAACCCCTGAGCATAGCTGGGTGTGACCCAAAAAGCAAATAAATAAATAAATAAATAAAAATGAAAAAATAATAAAAATGAAAAAAAGAGAAAGAAATATCTAAGAGCATTCTCAGAAATACAAATATTTGAGAAGCACTTTTATGTTTCAATTTTGATCTTGGTTTTGAGGCCATCCTGACAATACTCAGGGCTTACTCTTACCTGTGTGCAAGCATCAGTCCTGGCAGTGCTCAGGGAACTAGATGTGGTAATAGGATTGAAACCGGAGTCAGTCACATGCAAGGAAAGCACCTTGTATTATCTCTCCAGCCCCTGAGAATCATCTGTAAACAATCAGATGGTATCAGGGAGGCAATGAAGTGGACAGGTTGGTATTTTTAAAAGCATACTAACCATCAATCTGTGACCACAGTTGGAAACCACCAATGAAATGAAAAGAAAATGAAGCACGGTTAAATGTCATGATTTTAGTACTTCATTCTTAACTCTATGATTTCATGCTAGTTCTTTCATTTAAGTCTCCATTTTCTCATAATAAAAAAAACTTGCAAAAATCAAACTAAAGTATCTCAAAGTTCCTTTCCAGTTCTGAAAATAAACAGCTAAAATGTTCAACAACAAAAAAAAAATACTGTTTTATAAGGAAAAAGAGATGAGTAAGAATTTAGAGTAGAAAGAATTTTTGAGTTTTTACTTTATTATTTTCATTACTTTTAATTAAAAATTTTGAAATTTGCAATGTTAGGGATCAAACCCAGGTCCCATATATACAAAGCCAGTGATTTACCACTGAGTCGCATTCCCAGCATATTAAAAACATTTTTTTTCATTTTTTGGATTTTGGCCCATAGCTTACTTAACTTTGGCTCTGAGCTCAGTGATCACCACTGGTGGTCCTGGGGAAGCATATGTGGTGATGGAAATCAAACCCAAGTTGTCTGCCTGTAAGGCAATCCCCTTAGCAACTGTACTGCCATTCCAACCCCTTCTTTTCTTTTCTCTTCTTTTCTTTTCTTTTCTTTTCTTTTTTATTCTCTTTACTTTTCTTTTCTTATTATCTTTATTTTTTCTATATGTGATGCTGATGATCAAACCTTCATCCATGCATGCAGGGTGTGTTTCACCTCCGAGTCACTTATCAGCTCTTATACTTCAACTGATTATGTTAACCTAAAGCAAGCCTATACAAAATATTACAATATGAAGCAAATCCTCAATATGAAAAATATATGTATGTACAGAAGTAAGTCATAGTTGCCAAATATGCAAATATGTGATAAGCTTTCAATTCCAAGGTATCTAAATCATCCTATCATTTAAATTTTATTAGAAAAATAATTGAAGTCTACAATTGGTGACTAAGGAAAGTTATCTTTACAAAGCTGGAAGTAAATTTTCATCTATAACTTTTATAAACAGCATTGAATAATTGGGTTTAATGAATATTTGTCAAATATCACAGATTTTAGTTACTATCCTATTGTATGCTTGAAAATTTTTTTGAGAATAGAATTTAAATGTTCTCATTATAACAACTATAACAAATAGTATGGTTATTATGTGAGGCCAAGAATAAGTCAACAACCTAATTAATTGTGGTAATTATTTTGCACTACATATATACAGTATGAAACAGTAACAATGCAAATTTATGTAGTATTTTTGTCATATATCATGTCATACTTTTTAATCATATATTTTGTCATAAATATACTACATAACCACAAACTTATGTAGTATATTTTGTCAAAATCTAGGTGAAACGTAAAAATGTAAAAATACATGTAAAATATATTTTTAAAAATCACAGATACGTAGTCATTCATTTCTCCTTTTCTCAGAAAACGTGAGCGATGGTCACTACATAGATGATGTTATTTCACTGATAAGAGGAGGAACAAGCAAATACACAATTGAACTGAAAGAAAAGCTTCTCAGAGCCAAGGCAATTGATGTGACTGACTTCGTAAATTGGGCCACTTCCTTAAGTGATGCTCCTGTGCTCATAAATCAACAAGTAAGAAAAGTTTATTTTCCAATAGGTGGTTTTTAAATTTGTTTTCTTGTTTACTTAATCACTATGGTTAATAAATGTCACATAGTTCAATAAGTAGTTAACTTCATTTGAAAGACATGCAGACACTCAAATGCTCTGCTATCTTATCCTTGGAAAGAAGCATACCCTAGAGGAATAGGTTTGGGGTCATACCAACCCTGGTTGAGTGCGGGGCTTTGTTCCTCGCTGAATATGTGATATTTTCTGCCTTTGACAACACTAAAATCCCTGGGCTCTACAGTTATTCTGAAGATTTAGTCAGGTTGCTTGTAAGAAATAACAGCTCAGACTGGCACAAAAATCCTAGGGTTTCATGAATTATTCCTTATCTTTTTTTTAATTAATTTTTTTTATTAGTGAATCACTGTGAGGTACAGTTATAAACTTACAAACTTTTGCACTTGCATTTCATTCATACAATTGTAGAGTACTCATCCCTCCACAGTGCCCATTTTCCACCACCAATGGACCCAGCATCCTTCTCACCACCTCCACTCTCCTTCACTGCTGGTGGGAATGCCAACTGGTTCAGCCCTTTTGGAAAACAGTATGGACCATTCTCAAAAAATTAGAAATTGAGTTCCCATTTGACCCAGCAATACCACTCTTGGGAATATATCCCAGAGAGGCAAAAAAAAAAAAATATAATCGTAGTGACATCTGTACTTGTATGTTCACTGCTACACTGTTTACAATAGCAAAAATCTGGAAAAAACCCTAGTGCCCAAGAACAGATGACTGGTTAAAGAAACTTTGGTACATCTACACTATGAAATATTATGCATCTGTTAGAAAAGATGAAGTCATGAAATTTGCATTTAAGTGGATCAACATGGAAAGTATCATGTTAAGTGAAATGAGTCAGAAAGAGAGGGACAGACATAGAAAGATTGCAGTCATCTGTGGAATATAAAGTAACAGAATGGGAGACTAACACCCAAGAACAGTAGAGATAAGAACAGATAAGGACCAGGAGATCTGCTCCATGACTTGGAAACCGGCCTCACATGCTGGGGAAAAAGGAAGCTCAGATAGAGAAGGGAACACCAAGTAAAGGATGTTGGGTGGACCCATTTGTGTTGAAAGATGCATGCTGAAAGTATATTATAGAATTACTCCTTCTCTTACATCTGGCTCTAGCTATCCCTTGCCTTCTCAAAGCTTTGTACTGATGCTTTTGATACAGGAGGGTTTTTGTGAAGGGAATTTCGCATGGTCTGAAAATAAGAGGAAGCTAATAAGGTCTCTGAAAGTAAGACCAAGGATAAACACCCTTTCTTAATTTATTTCTGGGCTGCATCTTACAGTGCTCATATGGCTCTGAACTCAGGGATCACTCCTGCAGATGCTCAGGGGACCATATGGGGAGCCGGGGATGGAACCAGGGCTAGCTGCATGTAAGGCAAGTGCTTTACATCCTGTGCTATTTCTCCAGCCCTAAGAATGAGTATTCTTATGGTCAGGAAATACTTACCATCTTATCTCTTAAATAGTCTTCAATTATTCCTGGCTTGGGGATTGGGGGGGATAAGAAAGTTGTATATAACTATAAAATTATGCATTTTAGTGTTATTTAGTCTTATCCTTCTTTCTCTAAATGACTTTTAATAGTTACTTATTTTCCCTAACTTCTTTTTTTCTTTTTCTTTTTTTTTTCTTTTTGGGTCACACCCAGCGATGCTCAGGGGTTAGTCCTGGCTCTGCACTCAGGAATTAATCCTGGCAGTGCTTGGGGAACCATATAGGATGCTGGGGATCTAACCCAGGTAGGTCACATGCAAGGCAAACACCCTACCCGCTGTACTATAGCTCTAGCCCATTTTCCCTAACTTCTTATTTTGTTTCAAAAATTATTAGAATGTGCTCTTTTCCTACTTCCTTGGATATCTTTCAATTTTCCCTGGAAATTTTGTCAGTTATATTCTTCAAGTCAACTTTACTAGTTTAACTTAATAGCAAACATTTGACTTTTTTGGCACTTATTAAGGAATTTTGTTCTCACATTCTATTTTACTGTTTGTAACTAGTAAGTAAAAAATACCATGTAAAACTACCTCATATGGGCTGAGAGTAGGAGACATGCTTAGCTGACCCAAGTTCAATTGTCAACACCCCAGATGGTCCCCAGAACCCTGCCAGGGGTGACCCCTGAGCACAGAGTCAGAACTAAGATCTGGGCATTGCCTGGTGTGTCCCTCACTCATAAATAAATAAATAAATAAATAAATAAAACTACCTCATTTACGTGAGAAAGGAACTCAGAGACTGGAAAAACTACTCCCTTTTAATTATAGAGACTAGTTCTTTATAGATATGTAAGAATATCTATGAGACCACATAGTTTGTTTATAAAGCAGGACTAATGTAAGAAAAACTGTGGTCAAATTAATATGCCCATATATTTACTGGAGTCAGAAGAGACAGAAGACGGTCCCAAGAGGAGAGAGAGAGACAGAGATAGAGAGACAGAGAGAGACAGAGACAGAGAGAGAGACAGAGAGAGAGACAGAGACAGAGAGAGAAGAAAAAGGAGAGAGAGAGAGAGAGAGAGAGAGAGAGAGAGAGAGAGAGAGAGAGAGAGAGAGAGAAGTGCCTGCCATAGAGGCAGGTGGGGCAGGAAAGTTACCAAAGGGAAACCAGGGACATTGCTGTTGGAAAATGTACAGTGGAGAAGGGACAGGTGTTGGAACATTAGCACTGTAGCACTGTACTCCCATTGTTCATCGATTTGTTTGAGCGGGCACTAGTAACATCTCCATTATGAGACTTGCTGTTACTGTTTTTGGTGTATCAAATACGTCACGGGTAGCTTGCCAGGCTCTGCCATGCGGACGGGATAGTCTCATAGCTTGCTGGGCTCTCCAAGAGGGGTGGAGGAACCAAACCCAGGTCAGCCGCGTGCAAGGTCTTGGAACATTATATGACTGAAAACCAGTCATGAACAACTTTGTAACTGTATCACACTGTGATTTAATTAAAAAGAAATAAGGTAAAGGTAAAGGTAAAGGCCCTCCCGTTGATCATCGATTTGCTCGAGCGGGCCCAGTAACGTCTCCATTGGAGACTTTGTTGTTACTGTGTCTGGCATATCGAATACTCTCGGTAGCTTGCCGGGCTCTCCGAGAGGGGCGGAGGAATCGAACTCGGGTTGGCCATGTTGGCTGCGTGCAAGGCAAACGCCCTACCCGCTGTGCTATCACTCCAGCCCACTATGATAGTAATGGTAGTAAATTGTAAATTAAGGAAAAAATGTATCTTATAGATGTTAACATCTACATGGACAACTCCAGACGTTTGCTTTCTCATGTCTACAAAAGAAATATAGTTTTCTTATATGGATCTAAAGTTGTTATTTAAGGCTATCTTAATTATAGATAAGCATATGATAGAGTTGAAATTTAAATCTTAAGTAAACAAAATGTTTGCTAAAAGATTGCTATTAGATCTACTGGAACTATTCAAGGACCTTGATCGACTCTATTGGTATAATCCTACTGACTGTATTCGAAACGTAGTAGTTTAGCCTTTTTTGTGTGAAGCAAGATAGTTTTTGTTCAAGTTTATTTAGAAAGATGTGAAATGAGAGAAAGAGAGAAGTATATTTCTAATTTTTTGAGAATCTTCCATACTGTTTTCCAAAAGGGCTGAACCAGTCGGCATTCCCACCAACAGTGAAGGAGTGTCCCTTTCTCACCACATCCGCGCCAGCACTGGTTGCTTTTGTTCTTGTGGATATAGGCCAGTCTCTGTGATGTGAAATGATATCTCATTGTGGTTTTTATCTGCATCTCCCTGGTGATTAATGATGTGGAGCATTTTCTCATGTGCCTTTTAGCCATTCGGATTTCTTCTTTGTGAAAGTTTCTATTCATTTCATCTCCCCATTTTTTGATGGGGTTGGATTTTGTGGAGTTCAACCAGTACTTTGTATATCCTTGACATTAACCCCTTATCGGAAGTGTATTTGGCGAATATCCTTTCCCATTCTGTAGACTGTCTTTGTATTTTGGTCAAGGTTTCTTTTGAGGTGCAGAAGCTTCTTAGTTTAAGATAGTCCCATTTGTCTATCTCTGTTTTCACTTGCTTGGCCAGCGGTGTGACATCTTTGAAGACACCATTAGCTTCTATGTCATGGACGGTTTTGCCAACTTTTTCCTCAATGTACCTTATAGATTCCGGTCTGGTATTGAGGTCTTTAATCCACTTAGATCTTACTTTTGTACATGGAGTTAGGCAGAGATCTGAGCCCATTTTTTTGCATGTAGCCGTCCAGTTTTGCCAGCACAATTTGTTAAACAGGCTTTCCCTGCTCCACTTCACTTTTCTTGCCCCCTTATCGAAGATTAGATGCTTGTATGCTTAGGGGGAGATGTCAGTATATTCAACTCTGTTCCATTGGTCTACAGCTCTGCCTTTGTTCCAGTACATGCTGTTTTAATTATTACTGCCTTGTAGTAGAGTTTGAAGTTAGGGAGGTTGATTCCTCCCATTTTCTTTTTCCCAAGAATTGCTTTAGCTATTTGTGGGGGCTTATTGTTTTATATAAATTTCAGGAGTGTTTGCTCCACTTCTTTGAAGAATGTCATGGGTATCCTAATAGGGATTGCGTTGAATTTATACAGTGCTTTGGAAAGTATTGCCATTTTGACAATGTTAATTCTCCCGATCCATGAACAGGGGATATTTTTCCATTTCCTCGTATCCTCTTTTATTTACTGAAGTAATGTTTTGTAGTTTTCTTTGTACAGGTCCTTTACTTCCTTAGTTTAGCTGATTCCTAGGTATTTGATTTTCTGGGGCACAATTGTAAACGGGATTGTTTTCTTCATGTCACTTTCTTCTCTTTCACTATTTGCATATAGGAAAGCCATGAACTTTTGGGTATTGATTTTATAGCCTGCTACTTTACTATACAAGCCTATTGTTTCTAGAAGTTACTTGGTAGAGGTTTTAGGATTCTC